CCATGGGAGACCAGGAAAAGCACCTAGCTCCTGGCTCCTGCCATCGGATCAGCGCGGTGCGCCGGCCGCGGCAGCCATTGGAGGGTGAACCAACGGCAAAGGAAGACCTTTCTCTCTGTCTCTCTCTCTCACTGTCCACTCTGCCTGTCAAAAAATAAAAATAAAAAAATAAAAAATAAAAAAAAATAAAAAAAAAACATGTAAGAAAAATCCAGAAGGCGGTTCACCTTGGTCATCTCTAAAATTGTCCCAGAACTGAAGGTTCTCTGTGGATGCCGGGATTGTCTATTCTGACCAAATCGTCTGGACTGGTCTAAGTGAAAGACGTATGGAGGGAAAAATGGCTGTTTTGCTCTTGACATGCAGGGGTATGCAAGAGTCAAAATAGGGAAAAGAAAGGCAGATTTGAAGGACTCAGTTATGGAAGTAGAAAAGATGACTTGTAAGTGGGTGAAAGAAAACTTCAAGAAAATAACACTTTGTTATTCAATCTGTAATGAACAAAGGTCAAAATGGCACCAATATCTAAGCAGTAAACATCCTAGATAATGTTATTCAGATTACCTAGTATGAAATGCTTAAAAAACAAGAGTCAAATTCAGGGTTTCTCATAGAGGGAAGAGTTGGTGTGGTGGTGAGCAACCTTGCAAACTACTGAGTCAAGGTCCACCAAAGACAAAGCAATAAGCATAAACTGTGATGGAAAACATTTCTAGTAAACAGGCTTTGAATAACCAAGTGCACATCTCCTCAGAAATTATTATCCTTACTGTAGGCAAACACCTCGAAGAAGTAATAGACAGCTTGCATAGTCATTTGTCTATTTCTAAATCTGGAGACAGAGAGATACTTGAGAAAGTGGGTTTGGTTTCATTTTGCTAACATCAATTTCTGTCTCCTAAATACCCTGTTTGTTTCAGGAATATTCTATTTATATGTTGTATGACATTTTAAATTTATTTGACAAGAGTATTCCAAAATATCAAGGCATGTATATGAAAATCCTGACCCAAAGTTGGTATTGTGTAACTTTGGCAAAATTATTTCCCTTCTCTCCGATTCACTCTTTTTATCCATAAAGTGTAGAAACACAGTGTCTGCTCTATAAGGATTCAATGAGAAAATCTGTGTCAAGATTCTGGAGTATATCTAATACCCAGCTCAATAAAATGCTGTAAAACGTCTCAAGGTTCTTATCGTAACAATTATTTGACTGGAAAGACCAAATGCAATCATGTAAACATGTGTTTCTTGTTTTACTTCATTACAGGACCTGATGACGGCAGAGTTTGTGAAGTGATGACCAAGGGCAAATATGCTTTGACATAGTTGCCTGTTGGAGAAAGTGTGATAGATGGTTAAATGTGGCAGTCAGTGATTTATGATCACCATTACCAAAAAATGATACTCAATTAGTTCAAGTCAGAGAATTTGGGCAAAAAGAAACATGAAAGGACGAAGGGAAGGCAGAAAGGGAATGAGAGGAAGAAAAGATAAGGAAGGAAATAAGGCAGAAAGGAAGGGAGGGAAAGAGAGGGATGAAGAGAGGGAAGAGTTATGGTTAAAGTTATTAGAGGAATTTGAAGAGGTACAAATGATTATCCATATATTGGAACCCAAAGATAAGCTTATCTAACATACCAGGATTGTCAATTCTTTGAGAAACTAGATATATGGAACTGATAATACTGTTAGTCATCCCTAATTTACTTTCTGGACAATTGGAATAGGCTCTTCTTCTGCTTTCCAAGTTTCCTCCCAGCCTCCAGTGAACTGGCAGCTGGTGAGGAAAAAGTGGGTGGAGCCAAGGGCACATCAAAATAATTGCTTTTGGATTCAGCTGCAGAACCACAGAACTTTATGGGGCCCTCACCTCATAAAAATCAGGAGGAAGAAAGATAAATATGAAACTCAAGTTTGAGCAAAAAAAAAAAAAAAAAAACTGAAGTCAAAGAAAATCATCCTTTGGTGGCAATAGAATAATAACAGACTAAGAAAAAAGAAAAAACAGCCTGCAATGCAGAGCACTCCATGGAAAGTTGGTTTGTCTTGTTGTGGAAAGGAGAATGAATACAATGGGTTACACCAGAAAACAACAGTCCAACTGTCATCACAATGCATCTTATACTCTTTAAAAAACAAAACCAAATAAAACTGGTTTTAGTTAAGGTGAGAATTTATAACAATTTCTTCAGATGAAGAAACAAAGCAAAGCAAAAGATACATCTGATCCCAACAATTTTATCAACAACAAAAGTAAAAATAAATTAATTACATGAATATTAAAAATTGTATTAAAATGTTTGACAAGAAGCCATGTATAATTCTCCAATGTTATCCAGACGTGACTGCTGAACAGATCTTGGGAAGCAATGCAAGGGAGCTTCTGTTTTGAGAGCTGAGTTACTTGTTATAGAGTTTAAATAGACATTCTAAACATTGAGTGACCACCTAGTGCATGCATGCTGGACACACTAACTAGGGGATTAAAAAGATAACATCACAATTAATCTACAGATGTGACAGATAGCATGAAGATATCCCAAAGCAGTTATTAAATTGGATTGTGGGCCAGCGCCACTGCTCAATAGGCTAATCCTCTGCCTGCGGCACTGGCACACCAGGTTCTAGTCCCGGTTGGGGCGCCGCATTCTGTCCCCGTTGCTCCTCTTCCAGTCCAGCTCTCTGCTGTGGCCCGGGAAGGCAGTGGAGGATGGCCCAAGTGCTTGGGCCCTGCACCTGCATGGAAACCAGGAGAAGCACCTGGCTCCTGGCTTTGGTTCAGCGCGGTGCGCCGGCTGCAGTGGCCATTGGAGGGTGAACCAACGGGAAAAGAAAGACCTTTCTCTCTGTCTCTCTCTCTCACTGTGCATTATGCCTGTCAAAAAAAAAAAAAATTAGATTGTGACTGTCCCAAGTTCCAGGGCACAACAGAATCTGAAGGAGTTGCAAGGAAGTGAACCTTGTGTGTAGCTACAACTTCTTTAGGCAGATGTCATCATTCCCATTATTCTCCTTACAGACTCAACACTGCTCAACTGTGAGTTTTACTCAAAGTCCAGTAGAAAGAACCAGTATCATATATAAAATTTCCTTGATTTTAAGACCAAGGAGGGATGAGAGAGAATGAAAAAACAGATTGGGATTTTAGTAGCTGATTCCTGCTAACCCATTCTAAACTCTCACAACAGTAGCAAATAAGAATTAAACCCAAACTTCATAACAGTTAAGGAAATTTGTACATCTCAACACTAAGATACTGGAAGCCAGGAAGGAAGAAAAGTACCTCCCCTGAGAATCTGATCTACAATCCACAACTGCTTCAGGTGTGTAGACTGAATTTACAGTGCTAGCACCTTCCAAAAATTCTGAGCAGAGGATTGAAACAGAAGTGGTCTCAGCTTGATAGTACCCTCAGGTGACAAGCAAGAAGAAACACAAAAGCTGCTTGGAGGAAAAAGAAATGAAAGTTCAATCCAGAACAGTACAAGTGTGAGATGCATCAAATTTGAGGATTATCCTGATTTGAGGAATTTGCAAATATGAGAAACGTGCTTGGGGAAATCAAGCATCTTGTGTGAGATTCTGCTTGGTCAAGAATGGAGTTTTCATACGTGCTCAGTCCTGCGAAGACCATGTGGATATTTCCTGAATTGTTTGGACTTGATTTTTGTTCCTAACTCTGTTCTGATTTGGGTCATCCTGAGTTATGACCTGAGTACAGCATCTTTATTTTCTTTGATTGTATCTTACTCTTTCTTCTTTATTTCTGGTTTTATGGTTGTTTCCTAGGGATTTTTTTCTTTAATGCATTCAAGAGTATTTATTAAATGCCAGTTATGTTCTTGGCAATGCTGATTCAAAATTTAATTAAATAGATAGATGTTGCCTTCGTGTCATTCAAAGACTGACCATGGGACTTTATTACTTTAGTATATGTCAAATCTATCCATAATGGCAACAAATAATTAAGGTGATCACATTCCACTTTTTGAAAATTAAATTCAAGAAGTTGGAGAATGGCCCTTGTTGCTGTGCTTTTAAGGAGATGCTGTGAATCTGGAACGCATCAAAGTTGGAGAACACCAGGCTGATCTACAGCTTTGTATGTAACCATCTCTCCACAAAAGTCCTGGAGCTGATTCTACTCTATTTCTGCAGAACACTGGTATTCACAGTCCTGGGTCAGAGGAAATGCTGAGGATTCAACTGTGCCCATGTCCATTCATTAGGCAGTTTTGACCCAAACCAACAAGATTAATTTATTTTATAATTAGCTGAATTTGATCAATGTAATGAGCTCAGCCATGTAATTCTTACTGCACTGTTTGCTCCAACAGCCCCTGAGTCACCAGCAAATGGCCCCAATCTTCCATCACAAAGGACACACCCTCGTGACAGGAAGTCATGAAGCCTGGGATTTAAGCTTTGTGGTGAGTTCTCCACAAGTGTTTGTTGAAGTGAATGAGACAAAGTCTCTAGAAGATTCTTGACTTCTTTTGAATGATGAAAGAAAGTTGTATTAGGAAATGGTAAATTCTGCTAACTGCAGACATTTGGGGCTAAGTGGTAGACCGTATTCTTATTCTGAGGGGATGCATGTCTGATTGCCAGGATGTACAGGAAAATCAGAAAGTCTCATTTTATAATCATGTCAGAATCAGACATTCTTCTGCTTTGCATGTTGCAAGCACATTGCAAGTCATGCCATGTTAAACACCCTGCTCACGTCTCAGCTTGCTTATTTAAATTAGAAAGGATAGGAAAATGAGCACAGGTTTAGAGTTCTAGTATCAGCTCTGTCACCAACAATTGCTATAATGTGGGCTTCAGTACTACATCTGTAAAATTATGAGCTTGGGTAACAGTTGGACTCTCAGGTTTAGTGTAAAGTTCCAATAAATTAACATGTAATACAAATAAAGCTAAGGTGAAGTTATCATTAATAATGATGTCATTAGAATGAAATAAGTAGTTTCTGAAACTGTTTATTTCCAATAATAGAGTTTCAAAACAGGATTCAGGGCATATTCCAAGAAAACTGTATACCAAGTAGGGGAACACACCTTTATTCATTCAACTCCTACTGTAGGTTTTCTTCTGGGGAAATGAATGGTGATGCAACATCAGGTTTGACTTCACACTTCTCAACCAGCATAGTCATGTAACAGGTTATAAACAAAGATGCACCATTCACATTCTTGATGTTATAGGCTCCAATTGCTCCTATATTTTCTCTCTACACTTTTCAAGAATCTAGACCTGTGAACACAACACGGAAAAGGGAAGAGGGCAAGTTGGCAGACTGTGCACATCTCTGTGAGGGCTTTGCTGTCTGCATCCACTTTTCTCCCACTGCTTGTTGCTATGTGTACCAGCAAGATGTGGTAGGTCCCCAAATCACCTAATGTCTGTCCCCAAAACACTTGCATTCATGACCTTATTTGCTGTGATAAGAAGGAAATGGCATAAGTCAGCATTGCCAAAATACTTTAAAAGTTTGAATTTCTACTTTAAAATAAAATTTTCCTTCCCACAATTCTAAGCCTTAAATACAAATTTTGACAACTGTCATGCGACTTTTTTATTTGGTTTAACTACATAAGTCATATTTCCACTCTTCCTTTGGTTATTATAATTATTTTAAGCAAGGTTCCTCTCTCCAAGTCAATATGGAATGATGAAATCTGAGTGCTGTACAAATTTTACCTAGAAGGATACTTTTGACTGGGAGACAAGAAAGAGCGTGTTTCACTGAAATGTTTATTGGAGGGGAGGATGTTTCCTGATAATATTAATTTCCTAAAAAAAAAAAAAAAATGGGCGTCCTACCTTGTGTGGGGGAAATTGGAAGCCAGGCACCACAATCCCTTAGGGACTAAAACAGCCATCTGTAAATCTGCACAGTGTGTCTGATTCTGCCCCCATTGAGCAACTGTAATAGGAGTTCTATAGACACTACAGGAGTTGAATCAAGACTACCAGGTGAAAGAAGTCTGCTGTCAGGGTCTTATATACATTAAACAAAGAAAAGGCTGGGCTTCCATCCTGGAATTGTACCATTCCCCAGTAAACAAGTCCCAGCTCTTAAAAACCATTTGTATTTATTACCAATACCTTGCTATTTTATTTATTAAGTTTGTCACTAAACCCTGTCTTGCATACACCAGTACTTGCTCGTGCATGCCTTATGAATATAGAAATTAGCATCTCATTTACTTGATAATTAGGCCAATAATAAACATCTGTTTGCTTCCATGTAGGGTAAGATTTCTACCCAAGTTACTTCTCTGCTCTATACAATAGTTGTGCAATTAATTGTCACACTATCAATTATAGACACCCAACAATAGGAAATAAATTTTTCTTTTACACATTAGCTTTCATTGTAATTAAGATCCAAATTCAGACTCTGCTTTTGGAAAAACCATAATGCAGTGTTGTCTAACAGTCTTGGTAAGTGTACATTTTCAGCTTGGCTTTTCTATTTCTCATGCAGCTCAAACATTTCATATTGTGTATTCTGCTATAAATGGCAGCTTCCACAAAGTCGTTTTTTTTTTAAAGCTCTTTTGGTTCCATTTCACTATAATGAAAAACACTACACATATTGATCATTGAAAATTTCTCAAGTTACCCTGTTATGTTCTCTAGTTTCTGTCTTAGCTAACCCCCCTCCTCCCCACAGATTAACCTGTACTTTAACCTTCTCTTCCTTCTAATAGGTCTTACAGCAAGAGAAATTATCTTAGAGATTTTAGGAGCGTAATGAAAGCTATGAAAATGTTTTCTTAATTGTTTAGGCATGGCTCAATCCACATTAATTTCTTTAAAAAAGAGGGCATGGGGAAAGAACACAATGTGTTTCTCTTCAGTTCACATAGATTTCAAAGTAAAGATGTAATTAAAAAAAAAAAAAACCAGAAACTTGTCTTTCTAACTAATAAAAAAGGAACTTGGTACTGTGCTCACAGCAAAGTCATGGAAGATAATTTGAAACTTCAGTTAGCTTCCTGTAGAGAAAAATAACAGCCACCAAACTAATGGGTAATCAATGGCCAATTGCTTCAGAAAAGAGGCGCCCCACAGAATTCCCTGGAAATGAATGTGCTACAGAGAATGCATTGGGAAATGTCTTCAGACTATCCAAGTGAGTCTACCTTTCTTAACAAATAAAGAAGTCTGGGGGTGTTATTTTTGCTAATCAAGGCCTGGAGATGAAATGCTGTCTTCATTTAAGTTTCCCTGTGCTTTTCTCTGAACCACTATATTAAAAACAATCTTCCCCCATGATTTCTGGTGCTGTAGTGGAGTATAGTTTATGTGAAAGTAAATCTGGAAAGATTACCTTTCAAAACTGCCAGATGCTTCGCATTTTCTGGTAGAAATCTGGATTCCAGGTCTGTAATGATATTTCCTGCTGTGCTCAACACTCAATCAGAACGTATGCTTCTTGGTGGGCAATGTAAGGATTCCAAGGCTAACCTGGCAGTTTGGCTTTTATATTTTTCCAACCCAGCTAGGGGGTATAAATTTGGATTCTGGGACCCCCAAGCTAAACTTCAGAAGGGGTCTTTGTTATACTTAGATCTGCTGCATTTGGAGCCCCCTCCTTTTTGTAAACTGCCCCATGCAATGCAGTTTATGATTATATTTATAACCCATGAATAAAACATACCTTTTGAAAAAGAAAACTAAATTATTGCATTAATGATACAGGAATGTATGGGTTCTCATTGCCCCTGGCTCTCCCATGTTTAGATTCAAGTTCTTTCTTCCACCCAGTTTGAATTCCATTAATGTCCCCTTTCCTCTCTTCCTTAATCCATCTTGCACATTCTGTAATATGGTGTGGTGGTTATTAGTGGATGCTCTGGAGTCCGAGAGACCAAGGCTGGAATCCTAGCTCATTCATTTTAAAGCTATGGGACCCTGGGATGGAAAACTTAATGTGCCTTCTCTGTGGTCTGCTCTTCTATTAACTGAAGCTAATATTAGCATCTACTTCCTAGAATTATTCTGACTAGTCAATGAAATAGTATGCATAGACTGTCTAGCATAGTGCTACAGATATCATACATATCAGTTAATGCAAATTGTTTTTCTTAACTGGAGGACAACCTTCAGGAGAACTGATATAGCATGGTAATTACAGAAGTGTGGAAACCTGAGGTTGGCTGCCTCATTTCAGATCTTGACTCCATTGTATACTGAGTGACCTTACACACATTTATGTTTCTGCATCTCAATTCCTTATCTCTAAAATTAGCATAATATTAATTAATGATGGACTAGTGTGAATTTTTTATAGTTTATTAACTAAACTTATAATACACTTGGTCCAACACCCCCCACACCTCAGTTGGTCCAACCCTTCTCCCCATGTCCTACGGTTGTCCTTGCCATTTCTTACAGTGCTCCTCTTAGAACTGTGGGCAAACACCCTAACAGGATCTTTTGGTTGGGATAACATACAATGAGATCAGCTGAATCAGAAGTGTTTTCTGAGAAACTGGCCCTTTTAAACAAGTAAGGTAGCCAAGGGGCTATGCATTCATGCATACAGACTAGTGTATCACCTGCTGACCTCTGGAGATTGTTCCTTTCTAATGCCATTTACTCATCCAAGAAACTTCTGTTCCTATAATCTGGAGCATATAAAGGTTATGAGTCTTTTACTTCTGGCATGCTTCTTGTGATCCTTTCAGCCTAGACACCATAGGACAAAGAAACCCTGTATTAATAAGATACGCCTGGACATTGTGTGCTTTCTACCGTTTTCTTGCTTATAAATATTATTTAATAAATCCTTGTACAGATTTATATGATGGTGTTACTTACTCTGTCACCTTGCAATCATAGTGCTATCAAGATTTTTCCTATTTTATGTATGTGTATTGTTTTCCTTGCTACCTGCAAAATTCCAGTAGTAAGAGGACTATCTAATACTATGTATAGCCTCAAAGCCTTGCATTATACTTGGCCTATCACAGGCATTTAATGCACTTACATCTTTCAGATAATGCTGCTAAAGCTATGTAGGATTGAATGTGGTTGCAAGTATCTGAAATTTGGTTGTCTCAGAAAAAAATTAACAATTATTGCTTACCCCAGGCAATGTATTCATATTTTAACCTCAAAAGAGATCTAAAGTAAGGTTGTTGTAATAGTTCACAATGCCAGGAATCTATGGTTCTTTTGTCTAATTGCTCTTCCATACTTGATTTTAGATCTCAAGGTTATCTCAAGGTCCAAGACAATATTGGAACGCCAGTCATCATGCTTCAGTTGCATACAACAGAGAGACAAAAGAAGTGAAACTTCTCACTTGAACACTTCTTGGTTGAAGAATACTAGGCATCTTTTGTTAGTATCCTACTGGTCAATGAATCATACATAGCTATAAGGAATATAAGAAATTGTCACCTGTGTTCCAGACTGATGTTTATTTCTTCCATAAGTCACAATTGTATTATTAAAGAAGAAAGGGAGAATAGACACACGGATGACCTGCTGGCTCATCTCTACCCACTATGGCTTTTTTGTTCTAGTCTTTTACACATCCTCTTGATTCCTGCTTTTTGTTCACACAAAGGAATCAATTCGTCATTGAATATAACTAAATAAACTCAGGTAATAAGCAGTGCATCAATTTACTTATGTTTAGTGGTTTTCAGAATAAGTAACATAATACCTAGCCCACCTGCCTACCTGTTTGCTACAAGGAGTTGTCTCAAAAGGTGGAAAAAACTAGTAATACCTAATATTTGTCAAACATGTGCTATATCCTAGATACCAGGAGATACATATTTTAATCCTTACAACAATCATGTGAAGTAGATTTCATCAGCCACATATAAAAATTAAATAAATACATAACCTGGAAAGGCTAAACAATGTTCCTCACTCCAAGGCTAGTAAGAAGCTTCACTGGGATTGGAGTCTAGCATAGTTTTACTTCCACATTAATTTGGTAAACACTACGCAATACTCTCTCTAAAAAAGAATCAAACCAACTGTTGAAAGGTACTATAAATCATGCAAGTATAGTTCTGCATATTACACATTTTAATTATCTGATATGTGTTTATTGTGGTTTATGATGATTTTAACTATTCTCTGCAGAACATAGCATCATATAGAAATTGGACATAGCTTTTAGAATGAAGACATAATAAATCATCTCAGAATGTCTCACCATCTTGTTGCTTTTATCATTAGAACTTTCTTTGTTTGAAGTTTATGTCCCGTGGGTCACATAGTGAGTTAGAAGCATTCTTTCTCTTTCTCCTGGCTTTCTGGCTATACGCTAGCACTGTCAGGATGCATCGGGATGGAACTAGAGTCTTTCAGTGTATTCTTATGAGAGCAACAACACACGGTGAAGGAAGCATGATGGCCAAGTTAGTATCTCTGCTGCTCATTCCCTGCCTCCTCATCTGCAAACACCTTTTCAGAATCATGCCCTCCATCACTTTCTATGTGATTTGTCCAATTTAAAACACACACATACACACAAATATATAGTGCTCCTGGCATTGGGGTAGCAGGGCTGGGAGGAGGCTGAGTTTCAAAACAAAAAGAAATACAGCATTCTGTTCTATGTTGATATTTCTTCCCTTGTGACAGAAAATAAAATGCAAATGACAATTCAATTTCCATTCTCTCAGAACTGCTTGCCAAACCTCAGTCCTATACTCTGGATCTGACAAGCTTGTCACAGACCTCACACCCTTGATCATGGGTCAATGCACTTATGGGGAAGGTTCTCCAGGCTAACAGTGAGCCAATCAGTTTGTTTCTTTTCCAGGGCTTTGTAGTTGGAGCTGAGAGGTTGTCCAATCATTTTGGATGTAGAAATGCCCACGACATGAAGAGATAAAGATAGTTGAGCAGTAGAGAGTCAAAGTGAATCACATGAACTAACAGGAAAAAGATATGAGCTGGGGGTCAGAGTACCCAGCATCCCCCAAGGATTTTCCCTTCCTGCTTCTCTCATTTCTTTCCTCTTCACTTACATTTGCTCAATTTGATGTCTGCTATTAAATGTAACTCAAAGAACCTTCCCTAATTCAGGAGGGACCAAGAATATTAAAAGAGGCAAAGTGGGTGAAGACCTTCCAAATCAGTCTGCTACTGCGCAGCAATGAGGCAGAAAAACAGGAAATCCCCCACCCACCCAGGGAGATCCAGAGAAACCTTGCCATCTATACCCATCCTACGTGTCTCAATTTGGGAGACAGAATCATTTCTTCACTTCTCCCTGAGCTGGTGAAAGTCTCTTCCAGAAAGTTGTTCCAGAATCTTTGAAACTGAGCTGTACAAGCTTATGGACCGAGTCCCACTATTTGTAGTGTAATGGAAACAACAGGACTCTCTGTGCAGCTCTTAGGGCAGGGAAATCTCTTAGAAGCCATAAAGACTGAAACCAAAGATTCTTGGAATATAATGCATGAAGATGATCTTTTTGTTGGCACTCATCCACAAACCTTCAATCACTCTGTAAACTGAATTTCTTTCCATATGTTTTTCAGTCATTTACATTTAAGATAAAAATTATTGGCTCTGAGAGCCATTTGATGAGTGGTGATTCAACTGTTCTTCCCATTGTGATCTCGGCTCAGTGATGATTCATACTGTCCATGTGATGTTCTAAGAAAGTGGAATCATTCATGATGTCATCTAAAGTCATCACTTCGTAATCATACAATTCCATAATTTTTTTCAGCAAAGTTTGAAACAGTATCAATATCTGTTTTCTTACTCTGTTTTGAGTCTGTTTTATTTTGATTTCATTTACTGAAAACCTAATATTTAGCTTTAGAACAAAGATCCATTGTTTAACTTATGGAGATTATATATGTGTATATATATATAATCTCTGCTCCTGAGAACCATAAAGAGAGCATTCAAATCTTTCAAACTACCTGTACACTTTTTATCTTGGTTTATATTCTAGGAAAAACATGTTCATATGATTTATTTTTCATTATCAGAAATAACAGAAAACTATTTTAATGTATGCAACACCGGACTGTTTGACATTCAATTAGTTTAATTCTTCTCCCAACATTGTCTAATGTATCATATTAATATCCAAACTATAAGAATAAAAAAACTAAAAAAAACTATTAGTATAAAATATTTGAGCCATTCAACCTGCCTGTCCATATCCACTCTTTGATGAATGTAATTTCTCTTTTGCATTGGGAAGAGCTGTGTCTATTTACCATTTCCAAAATATCAAGTTATTTTAACAAGACAGTCCGAAATCAACAAAAAACATCCATTTTACCAAGTTCTATTGTGACATATAACCCTATTTTTCTTGATTGGGATTCTATATAGGAAGTTTGCCTAGATATAAAAATAAAATAGATATAGTCTTGGAGAAACTATTTTCATCATTTAAGAAAAAAATATACATTCCTGAGCCTTCACTGAAACTGTCCCACTTGGGTTTTTAGAATGACAAAAGGCATATTTTGCCTCATTTGCCTGTGAAAATATGCCTTTTTGAGAGCATGGAAAACCTATATTATTTGAAGTGCAACTTGATAAGTGTTTCATTTTTTATGAACCCCAGGAAAAGAAATTTATTCCATTTTTACAAATAGTAAAGTTTTTTTATTCCTAGAACCATCTCTATTCAACAGAAATTGGTATCATATACTGAATATTTCCCATGTAGATGGAGAATTATTCATAAAAGGCAGCAGAATCCACTTTTTCTTATGACAATTATTAGAGTTAGCATTGAGGTTTTATTAAGTGCTGAATATTTCACAAATATTATCTCATTTAATCTTTTCAGAACTCTAAATTCTCAGCTGCTCACTTCATTTTACAAATGAAAAAAGGAAGTTGTAAAGAGTTTAAATAATCTGCCTATAGTTGCATAGCTGGTAAGAAGAAGAGCTGATACTCAAACTCATGTTTCATCAAATTCTAAAAGTTCAAGGTACATCCATCATGGGTTGTATAAAACACCATTAAGAAGAGATGCTAGGTTGCCAGACCTGGGCCTGCCACTTACTCCTAAAGTGAACTTGAGAAAGGCATCTAATTCTTTCGCATGTTATTTTTTTTTCATTTCTATAATACAAGGAAAACGGTATCTTGTGTGTTGTAGAGGGTCAAAGGAGATGGTTTCAATAAAAATACTCTGAATCTGCCAAGTGCTCTTCATAAATAGCTCATATACATTTAAAATTTTAGAACTAAATGGTGTGTGTTTGCTGCTTAAGGTCACAGATGAAAACTCAAGTACTACAGGCAGCAGGGCTGTGCATTATTTTTAAGTGAGGAGTGATTGATACTGATTGCTCCAGCTTTTCAAGAAATCTATCGTCATAGAAAGTACTGTCGTGCTTTGTCTAAGGAAACAAGATACTGTTTTAGAGTATTCACATTCTCATCAATTTTTCTTGAAAAACATATAATTACACAATGGCTGTATGTGAATCCTGAGAGTGAAGAGTGAGGGAAGGAATTGCAGAAAGCCGTAAGATATGATGAGTATGGTGGAAGATGAGGATTTGCATCCATTTCCTTTCTGGAAATGATGATTTTATTTTCTAAAAGAGAAATGCTAATGATAGCTTATATAAGAGAAATAGACTGCCTTCTGAGTCATCTTGAAGGAAAATTTACTTGGAATAAAAATGGTTTCAGAACTAATCACATCCTATTTTTTGTCAACTTTAATGTTTAGAAAAGTTCATCAAATAAACTCAGTTTAGTACGGATATTCTATGTGTGTGTGTGTGTGTGTGTGTGTGTCCACTTACATATGTGTGTATACCCAAGAGAGAAAAGACAACATTAATACTTGCTTAGTTGCCTATAAATTAGCATTATGTGTCAGAGAAGGGCTATTCGTTATATTTTCTTATTTAATCCTCCCAACAATGTTGTTGCTGTTATCACCAAAGAGAAAAGTCTTAGAAAGGTAAATGAACTCCACTCATTACCTCTCACAGTAACTATAGTTTAAAAGGAATTTTCCATGCATTATCTTCATATTGTCTCAGTAATACTGCAATGTGACATGGCTCTTATTTTGCCATTGGAGTCAATAATTCTCTGAAGAAAGGGAGAAAAAAATACCGTAAGTCATACAATCACTAAGTCAAACAGCTAAGAACCCATACCTTTTTTTTTTTTATATACAGGCAGAGTGGACAGTGAGAGAGAGAGACAGAGAGAAAGGTCTTCCTTTGCTGTTGGTTCACCCTCCAATGGCCGCCACGGCTGGTGCGCTGCAGCCAGCGCACTGCGCTGATCCAAAGCCAGGAGCCAGGTACTTCTCCTGGTCTCCCATGGGGTGCAGGGCCCAAGCACTTGGACCATCCTCCACTGCACTCCCTGGCCACAGCAGAGAGCTGGCCTGGAAGAGGGGCAACCAGGACAGAATCCACTGCCCCGACCAGGACTAGAACCCGGTGTGGAGAATTAGCCTATTGAGCCGCGGCGCCTGCAAACTGATGAAATCTTTGCTTAATATGTACTGAATTGATCTTCTGTATATAAAGATAATTGAAAATGAATCTTGATGTGAATGGAATGGGAGAGGGAGCGGGAGATAGGAGGGGTGTGAGTGGGAGGGAAATTCCCGGGGGGGGGGGGCGGGAGAGAAGCCATTGTAATCCATTAACTGTACTTTGAAAATTTATATTTACTAAATAAAAAATCAAAAAAAAAGAATCTAACTAAAAAAAAAAAAAAAGAACCCATACCTTGCTTGATCAATTTCAAAGCCCAAATGCACCCATTTCTGAAGGAGTGACATCTCCCTGCCTTTGTCAAGTTTTCTGGACAGAAGTGAGTTGAAGTTTCCACTGGGTTCAAGTGGAGGGGATTATGCAAGGATGTGACTCATTGAGGATTACTTCAGAGTATATCTGCCTCAGCTTGGATAGGAACTCATTCAACCCAGATTAAAATTGTCATGTCATTTCATTTCTATTATTCTCTTTTGTGTATTGATATGTAATTAATAAAAAGAGCTGAGGGTGCAGTAAAGGATAACATTTGTTTTATAAAGTTATGTTAAAATTATGCAGCCAAGAAACCCTCTCATAATGCTTTCATTGTCTATTTCTCCACATTTCTAGTTCTTGATAACCATTTTGTATATAAAATTAAAAACTTTCACAAACACCACTAATTATTCTAGTATTTTATTCTTCCATTAATGACCATTTATACAGCAATTGACTCAAATAATTTAGCATATTGAGTGCAGAAGATTTTGTATTTGAAAGTGAACTTTGGCTACTAACAATAAATTCAAATGATGCATCTTGTTTTCATTAACATAGTTTCAGTGATCATTTATGATAGGAAACCATGTAATCACATAAGCATGGATACTGTAAAATTCCAGGAAGACCAGATATAATGCCAAAGAAGGCATTAGACAATTTGGTTTCCAAAATTCTGAGTTTTATTTTGAGCCCAATACTAATTTAAAGCCAATATTTATGCAGTGCTCTTTGTGCGGATTTCTCACTCGTAGTGGAGCTGATGTTTTATCTAGAATTCTATGTGATATTTTTCATTACTGCTTTTATTTATCTGAGTCTTCTGTAATTTTGCTTGATTTAATTTTACAAAATTAATTTTGTTGTTAAAAAATTGCATACGAGTTTTGCTATTAAACTTCTCTGTACCAGTTTTTTCTTCTGAAAATGGAGATAAAATATTAAATCTAACTGCATTGCTTCAATAATTAAATAAAAATCTAAAGAATTTAATTATTACCTGATGTATTATTACTTAAGTTATCATATAATAATGATATCATCATCATCACAAATTCAACCTCTTTAAAATGTTTTATATTTCAATTATTTTCTGTTATAATTATTTTGTTTCTTCTACTGTACCTGGGTTTATCCTCCTGTCCTTTTTCTAACTTTTAAGTAAAATTTTTAGATCTTTAACTCTCAGTGTTTCTTCTTTTGTAATATACCCATTTAAAATATAAATTTTGCATGTTTTGACACATTGAACTTCTTTATCTTTCAAGCTTAAGTATCTTAATTTTCAATAACCTTTATTCTCTAATCCAGAAGTTATTTGTAAATCTGATTTAATAGATGCATTATATTAATCAACTTTTTATTGTTGATTTCCAATTTAATTGTACTTTGGTCAGAGAAAAAGATCTTTGTAACACTTTTTTTTTTTTCTGAAAGAGATTTCCATTATGGCTGGTGTATGGGAAATTTTGTAAATGGCCTGAACATCTTGCAAACAATAGAGGTCCATGCATTTGGTACAGCAAAGATGCAGGTTGGTATCGGTCCTGTCTCTGCTTCAAATTCTAGGTTCCTACTAATGCTCACCCAAGGATGTTGCAGATAATGGCTTATACACTTGATTCCCTGCCACCCATGTGGGAGGCCCAGATTGAGTTCCAGGGTCTCAGCTTCAACCTGACCCATTTGGAAAGTGAGCCAGGAGATGGAATATCTATCTCTGTTTCTCTCTATCTCTCGCTCCTGCTCTCTCTCTCTCTTTCTCTCCTTGTCTTTGTCTTCTTTTCACATACAAATGAAAAGAAATAAAAGCTTATATTTCATTGTTTAAAGATTTATTTCAGAGTTACAAAGGGGGAGAGAGAGAGAGAGAGAGAGAGAGAGAGAGAGAGAGAGAGCGCTTCCATTTACTGGTTCACTCCCCAAATAGCCAAAAGAGTCAGGACTGGGCCAGGCTGAAGTCAGAATCGGAGCTTCTTCCGGGTCTTCCATGTAGGTACAGGGGCCCAGGAACTTCAGCCATCTTCCTCTGCTTTCCCAGGCTTCTTAGCAGGGAGCTGGATGTGAAGTGAAGTAGCTGTGACTCAAACTGGCACCCATATTGAGTGCTAGCACTACAGGTGCTATCTTTACCTGCTGTGCCAAAACTGAAGCCCCATACTGAATATTCTTTAGATGTCATTTTTTTAATAAACAACACCAGCAAAAAATCCCAGTGCATTAATTTTATTTCCTACTCATGTGAAAATCTAAAGAAGACATTGGTAGTTACTTCAACCAGTGGTTCAGTTTCAGGGCTGGTATGGCAGTACCGCTTGGAAAATGTGAGTCCTGAGGTTACTTAGTAGGTTATCCTCATTTCAAATCGCTACAAGGGGGAACAAAGTGATTATCTTCATCACATTGCCACAAACAACTGCAAGGCAGCTGAGAAATAGTCTAGCAAAATTCCAGGGAGAAGGAGCAATGGATTTTATTGATTACCTTCAATACTATGTCAGTTTTAATTTCTAAAAGAATATATTGATTTTAATGTGAAGCAGACAGAAAAAGTGACAGACAAACAGACAGAGTACCCACCTAATAGTTCTTCCTACCATGCCTGCAATGACTGAGGTGAGGCATGCAGAAACCTGGAGCTAGAACTCAGTTTAGGTCTCCAGGAACTCAACTCCTTGATCCATTATATGCTGCCACCCAGGATGCATTTTAGTGGAAAGCTGGAATTGGAAGCCAGAGCCAAAGAACTCTAGTACAGACATTCTGATATGAGATGTGAGTTTTTTAGCTGCCAGTCCAAATGTCTGCCCCAGTTCTTTTTGTGACCCTACTAATTAAATATTGCTGTGTTTTTGTTAAAACATGCAGAATTATAGGCAACATTTGTTTAGATTTCACTACATGGTTTCTGACACCTTTGTTCATATGCTTCTTGGGCTTTTTGTACTACCCAGCATAGGCAGGCAATGGAGAGGCAATAAATTAAACTGAAATCTCAAAGATACATTTCTCATTCATACCACAGACCAGACGAGGGTTCAGTGGAGCTGCTTCTCCTCGAGGTCAGTCAGGTATCAAAGCCAATGAAGGCCCCATCATGTTGTGGTGCTGTACTGGTTTCACATGTACCACCAGTCCCACGGGTCCCTTCTTCTGGTGGCTCTGCAGTCTGACTCTGTACAGTGGTCTCCATGTGCCTGCCTTCTCCCGGCATAGTGGGTGGTAAACATACCACTATCTCCTCACTTGTCCTGTTTTCTTTTTCTTATTTCCTGTAGAAAATTTCTCCTATAAAACCTTCTAATGTATTTAGTATATAAAAATACTCTGTAATTCTCCAGATATATACTTATTTATCTTCCTCCTTTAAAGATATTTTTGCTGGATTTATCACTACACATAAATTGGCATTATCTCTTCCTACTTTGAAAATACCATTCCATTATATTCTGGCTCCCATCGGGCTTCTGAGAGTTAGAAGACATTGTACTTTTATTTTCTGTAACTTTGAAGTTTATAAATGTATGTGCATATTGTTAATTATGCCTGGAACTCAATGACCTTTTTTGAAATTTAAAGTTTTCTCTTCAATTCAGTGAACTGGTGTACTTCTGTATCTTTGTTCATTATTTTTCATCTGTTCTATTTTGTCCCCTAGTAATTATATTATTCACACACTGGGTATCCTAGATGTCTCTTCCATATTTCATTTTCCATTTCTTTATAAATTTCTTCTGCCCTGGTGCTTATTTTTTCAATTTGGTCATCTGCCATCCATGATAACTAATTTTCCTACTACAATTGTCTTACTTTTTTCCCTCTAAAATTCATAAGTTGAAGTCTGAATGTGATGGCTTTTGCAGATGGTGGCCTTGGGCAAAGAATTAGGTTGAGACATTGGATGAAGTCATGAGGGTGGAGACTTTGTGATGGGATTGGTGCTCTTATAAGAAGAGGAGGGGACACCAAAACACGCTTGCTTTCAAATCTCCCTGCTCCTTTCTCCCCGCCATGTGAGGACACAGGCAGACCAAGAAGAGAGCTCTCCCTGGAACCTGACCACACCTGCTTTCTGATCTCAGATGTTCAGCCTCCAGTACTATAGGAAAGTAATTCTCTGGTGTTCAAGCCACCTCAAAAAATTTTTATGACGGCCTAAAATTCATGCACCTATTTGTTGTCTTTCTGCAAACTTGTTTTTCCCCTTATATCTTTCTTTTTACTATGGACATTCATCATACTTTTCTTTCATTTTTAATTGAGAGTTATTTATTTACTTGAAAGGCAGAGATACAGAGAGAGAGAGAATGAGACAGTGGCAGAGAGAGAGAGAGAGAGAGAGAGAGAGAGAGATATCTTCCATGCACTGGTTCACTCCCCAAATGGCCACAATATCAGGAGCTGAGCAGATCTGAAGCCAGGAGCCAGAGGCCTGTTCCAAGTTTCCCATGTGGGTACAGGGACCCAAGTACTTAAGCCATCTTCCACTGCTTTCCCAGGTGCATCAGCAAGGAGCTGAATAGGAAGTGGAGTAACCATGAATTGATCTGGTGCCCACGTGTGATGCCAGCACCCTAGGCCACAGCCTTACCCATTAGGCCACAGTGCCAGCCCCATCACTATACTTATCTAAGCACAAAAGTGCAACAGGGAGCTTTTTCTTTAGTGCAGAATCTTTGTTTGTCACTATTGAAATAATCGAGTATCCTAACTGTGCTATAAATCATGACGCGCTCCACATTTGTCACTCTTTTTCTATTATTACTAATTTTTCTCTGTCACATTTCCATTCAAACATACTCTGCAAGGAGGAAATTAACATGGTGGTTCTGGAATTAAACTATATGACTGCAGAAGCTTAGCTGCCAATTTCTAGCCATGTGACACTACAAAATTAAAACTGTTTTCCTCACTCAATAAGGTGGTAAACACTAGTACTTACCTCTTGGTATTGTTAAGAGTAAATCAGATATTAATCTGAAGCAATTGGCATAGTGCCTGACACAGAACATTCAACAGTTTGATATTTTGCATATTGAAAACTGAAAATATTTGCACTTGACCCTAAAGAATGTCCTGATTCATGGCCAACTATCTGTTCCTTTTCATAGAACAACTTTCTTCACAAGGAATCAATGGGATGACACATAGAGAGAGAGAAAGAGAGAGAGAGAGAGAGAGAGAGAGAGAATAAATATCCTATGTAAGCATTTGATTAAATCAATAAGAGAAAAGGCCCTGATGTGATAATTAGCCCAAGCAAAGATTTTTCAAAAGCATAAAATTTGACTTATGTGCAAAAATATCTATGTTAGGATAGGTATGAGGATATTTTTTGGAGAAAGCACATCATAAAAAATCACCTAGAAAAATTAATGACATTTCTAGATCCTGTTAAAGTAAAAAAAAAAGTTACCTTATGTAAATTAATTTCAAAGGAGATTTGAACTTTTTATTTGTTGAAGTATAACTTACAGTATACTATGACAAATATATGAAATACATAGTATTATGCTGTGATCAGACATTTTGGTATTACCTATATCCTGTTTGGCAGATAGTCATAGGTGTTCAAGTGAGGCAAATAATATTGGTATAAATATGTCAGAGATTCCTGGAAAACTTGCTGATTATGATTTATGTTGGCTCCCAAAAACAAGTCCCATGTTTATCTTGACATTTTTTTCAATGGCAATAAGTTTCATAAACTAGATCATAAGATATACACACAACATGTGATGAAAGAACTTTCAGAAGTCAGCTAATACTGCTATGTTTTGTAATATCTCTTTCTGCTTGATGTCCTATAATTCCAATACTTAGACTGAACATGGGGTATAGAAAGTCCTCCATGAATACTTGTTGGACAATTGACTTAATGTTCTCAGCTGGAGAATTTAGTCTGTGGATTGGCCATTAGTGTTTTAAGGTATTTATTATAGAATGTAGCAGTTAGGAAAAAATTATGTTAATGTTTCAAATAATATAATTTTATGAATGAAAATATAGACTGACAAAATTATTGGAAGGATCATGTCATCAGGAAGTTTAAAATAAAAAAAATCCCAAGAGTTGTGAAGAAACCTGTAAAATTAGAACTTAGAAGGAAATAGTATGCAATAAAAAGAAGTGTAAACAATAGAAATACTAGAATATTTTCCTCTTCTACATAAGATGTCTGCCTTGTAATGTTCTCATTTAGCAGACCAAATCGAGGTCTGCCTCCTGATAATGAGTAATATGAATTCTCCCACTTTGAAAGTTCATTGTTGTAAGGCAATGTGTCTCTTGCTTTTCTTTGTTGTTAAACCCAGAAATGATACTAGAGGTTCTCTCTGGGCAGGGGCTTTTACTTTTTCTGACTCTTGATTATTATTGGTACAAATTCTTTCTTGCATATGCTTCCTAAAAACAAAAATGGGGGCTATGGGAGCATGAAAAAATTGCCCTTTCTGTGTTTTCATAAAAAGCATTATGAATATGTGGATTTTGTACCATGGTTCATCAATCAACTTCAGTGATGTCCTCTGGGGTACAGACTTTATGGGTGGCAAAGCAGGGCACATGCTACATTTACCCTTAGTTTGTCTCTATTCAGAGGGTGATTTTTGTTGGCTAAATTTCTGCTGAATGGAGTAATTTCCGGATTAAACTGAAATGATTTACAAGTACTTCTTTTATTTACAAAGGGCTCAAGAGCTCAAAATATCATTGTCTTAAATGTTATTTTGATAGCTTAGTGATATTTAGATGGAGGTGAAGCACCTCCTCCCATATTCTTTGTGGGGATACAATCTGGGAGTGTGCATTAGAATTATTCTATGACCTTTTGCATATTTATGAAGATAGATTCTTTAGGGTGAGGAGAATCTGCAGGGATGGAAAGTTCAAATTAATCTGATAAGGTAGACAAACTTATTGCCTGGAAATGGACAGGATCAAATATGTCTGTCTGAGCCACAGAGACTAAGCCAGAGAATTCCAGAACAGAAGACTTAATAAACTAAGGATTCCAGGCATTGGTGTATATAGAATTGTAACATTCAACTCACTCTATTGCCTAAGAAATAATGTGTGTTTCTTTCTTTAAAGTCTTGTTTATTCATTCGAACGTCATAGGGAGAAACACACACACAGAGAAAGAGGGAGAGGGAGATGTCCAGCCAGGGCAGAGCCAAGCTGAATGAATTCAGGAGCCAGAAGCTTCTTCTAGTTTTCCCATATGGATGGCAGGGAACTAAACACTTGGACTGTTTTCACTGCTTTTCTCTAGGCCATTAGCAGGGAGCTGGATAGGAAGTGGAGCAGCTGTGATAGGAACTGATACCCATAGGTGAAGCCAGCATAGCAAACGGTGGCTTTACCCATTATATCATAATGCTGGCTTCATAAAAGTGATTCTTATGTCACCAGGGAAATAGATGGCTAGGTTTGTAAAAACAAAACAAGGCCGGCACCGCAGCTCAATAGGCTAATCCTCTGCCTAGTGGTGACGGCACACGGGGTTCTAGTCCCAGTCGGGGCGCCGGATTCTGTCCTGGTTGCCCCTCTTCCAGGCCAGCTCTCTGCTGTGGCCAGGGAAGGCAGTGGAGGATGGCCCAAGTGCTTGGGCCCTGCACCCCATGGGAGACCAGGAGCACCTGGCTCCTGGCTCCTGCCTTCGGGTAGGCACAGTGTGCCGGCTGCACAACGGCAAAGGAAGACCTTTCTCTCTGTCTCTCTCTCTCACTGTCCACTCTGCCTGTCAAAAAAACAAACAAAATAGCTAAATTACAGTAATAATAAGACATACTAAATTCTTAACCAACATGCCCAGCCAACACTGTTGTTAGCACTTTGCAAAAAATAGATCATTTAATGATCTCAAAAGTAAATGAAGCAGAAACTATTTTATGCTTACTTTAAAGATGTGGAAACTGAGGCTCAGAATATTAAATGATTAACCAAGGATGAAAAAGATATGGAAAAATTGAAGCTGAGCTTTGAACCCAAGACTCTGATTCCATTTCGCTTTCTATCATCTCAATAATAGTCATGTGTTAATTTGTATAAGATTGAAGCATCTGCCTGTTCTTCTAAATTGAATTGTCTTCTGATGTTGTCTACAAAGAGCAATGCTTTGGAATCTAGAACAAAAATTCTGCCTTTTCATTTTGGTTTAACTATGGGTTGTAAAATTTTAATTACCTTTTGTTTAGAAAGTGCTATAGAACCTGAACTTGTAATCAGTGCTGGAAGTAGGCACACCAAGGGGTGGTTGATTTCCCTAGTGAATTTGAGTATCATTTATGGAAATGTAATTACAGTGGAATCCTGTTATAACGATCAATTTGGGCAACCCCCATTTGATCATTACATCCAAATGATCACCACACACAGACCATAAAACAGTGAGCCTCTCAAACCAGACAGGCTCAACAGTAAAATATCCATCTTGCAAAAACAGTATTATTACCACTAAGTACTTCACAACCAGCACAGGTCAGTCGAATTATTGGCTCTAATTAGCCCTGCTAAAGGCTATAACATTCTTTAGCTAAATCATAATGGCTTGTATGAAAGGTTTGAAATTCAACTAAGTCAATGAGTATTTATTATGTACCTGCTGTGTACTCCAAGTGGGGCCAGCAACTGAGGAGAATGTAAAATAAATAGGACCTTCTTTGTGAAGCTTACTATCCAATTACAACATAAGTTGCATAAACTCCTCAAGCGATTCTCCCTTAAAGAAGTGGGTACCCACAAACTCCCTTATGACAATATTTGTTACTTTCAGAGGTGAAAACTTTGGCGCTAGTAAAAAATAGAGTTTGGAGACTAATCTTTTGTCACAAATGTGACTGCAAGCATAAATGCAATAGGAAATGAAAATAAATAGTTCCTACCTGCACAGGCAGCACCTTAAGTCAGAGACAGCAAAGGGGTTTCATCTCGTATTACAATTTCAATGAATAGTTGCCTAAGTCAAAGACAGCAAAGAGATTTTATCTCTCACATCAATATCAGTGAGTTGTTAATGGCTGGCTGTATTACTAGGTTGAGAAGGATCTCTTGTCCCAACTGACACGGGAAAGAAAGATATTGCTGATTGGTAATTCCAGGCACGAAGATTGCAGGTAGAAGCCGCAGGAGAAATACTGAGCATCATCCTCTGCTGGGCTTCTTTCCTTCTGGAACTATGTCACTTTTGAGATCTCTGAAGTGGCATGCCCAGCTTGTAACTACTCTCCCTGAATGGCAGCGCAGCAAACACTGTACTGTGCAATGCACCTAGGAGGCTGTTCTCCTCCTGGACTCCCCCATGTCTGTTTCCTCTTGATTCCCTCATAGCCTCACACTTAGTTTTATACTTTAACCAGAGTGAAAATTTCTCCTTTGTCCACATCAATCATCCCCATTTGACTACATTTAATGTCAATGTACCACTCTGTGTTCTAAACTCTTGATATTCAGCATTTTTCTCAAAAACCTGTTCAAGATAGTATATATTTGGAGCTGAACAGAAAACCTCGCCAATCTGGGCAACCAGATATTTCCTCTTTGTCTTCTGATTTCTAGGAAACCATAATTTATTCACACAATGGAATCCGTCTACTTAAACTGGTACCTCACTCTGTAGCTCCAACTTTCTGAACACACCTTCTATTCCAGAGGGTGGAAGGCAGTTGTCTTGGATTTTGATTCTTTCTGATAACCTTGCTTGTTTTCCTTTTCTTTTCAGAAAAAATTCATTCCAGAATATTTCTTGTAAATCATTCAGTATAGAATATTCTTGTACTTTAGCCCTACTTCACATGTATTATGATTTATCATGCAAAATATAGTGCTTGAAGATTCCCCTGACCTTTCAACACTTTGTTTGGTCATAACAGCTTGAACCATGCTAATTTGGCATGAGTACAGAATGTTATGAAACCTTTTCAAGTCTATCCCACATAACTCTGGTTTTTCATTTCTGGAGCTTCACTATTGGGCATAATTCCAGATAAACAATAATTATCCCACAATACTTTTCTTGAACTCTATTTTTAAAAGGTAATTACAGTCAGACATTCTGGGCTTCATTGTTTCTGGCTTGTACCCACATACCATGTAGAAAAGAATTACAATCAATATATGTATTCATCCTTTGGATATGCTTGTCTTGGGGAGCCAGGTACTGATATTTGACCAGCATATTAATAATCTCTATGACTTCCATGGTCAGTGATAGCAGGTTTTCTCCTAGCTGTCTGATAAGAATACCACTGTTTAATCATGCATGAGACCTTATTATGTACTGGAGCCACTCCACCACGGGACTACAACTCCACTTATCCTAGAAACTTTCAGAGTTTTTACAATTTCCTGGTCATCACCCTAGAGTTTTTATCATTTGGAGGTTCTTCCATCCCGACCCACATCTCTGCACAGTAAAATTCACAGGAAGTGTAAAAGTGGAGGGTGGCTTTAATGATTGGGATGTAGTAACAGAGGATTTACAATCAAGAATAACTTTTTTTTTTTTTGACAGAGTGAACAGTGAGAGAGAGAGAGAGAGAGAGAAAGGTCTTCCTTTACCTTTGGTTCACCCTCCAATGGCCGCTGAGGCCGGCGCGCTGCAGCCAGTGCACCGCGCTGATCCGATCTAGGAGCCAGGTGCTTCTTCTGGTCTCCCATGCAGGTGCAGGGCCCAAGGACTTGGGCCATCCTCCACTTCAGTCCCGGGCCACAGCAGAGAGCTGGCCTGGAAGAGGGGCAACCGGGACAGAATCCAGCGCCCCGACCAGGACTAGAACCCAGTGTGCCGGCGCCGCAGGTGGAGGATTAGCCTATTGAGCTGCGGCGCCGGCAAAGAATAACTTTTTAAAATTCCAAAGAAGGAAGACAGATTAAAAAAATGGTGACAAAGAGATCAGTAAATTTAGACAGACAAAAAAACGGAGGAAGCTAAGATTATAGTGGTGAAAATAAATAAGTGCATCATGTTGGCAGGCCTGTAGGCTGGAAGGGACAGACTAGACAGCCTGCATAGAAACTAGCATTTTAAAAAATGCATTTTGTAATTGCCTTTCTTCTCTAGAAGTCCTGAGATGAAAAAAGAGACAACGAGATTGGAATCAGTTGAAACTGGAGCTTTCTCCAATGCTAATAGCAACCACAGTTAACACTAACACATGCCATTTTTGCTTGTGATATTTTACATTTTTCTTTTTCAGAAACAGAATATTTTTCCCTACAGATCAAATGCAATTTACTCTATGGATTTCCTCCTACTAATTTTTTGTGATGATCTATTGGAAGGATTAGACCTGTAGATTGAGGATACAATCTGCTTGGATACTGAATTTAATCTCAAAGAGTTCAAAGGAGCACCAGGATGTGAGCAGGTTTAGCGAAGGAACTGGCTTTGATTTCAGCCTCAAGAGGGCAAGATAAGTCTTTTGAGGGATTCCTATCATGCAGCCCAGTCCACAGAGGTAGGACAGTAGGCTCAGGATGGAAGGATAATGAATGGGCATTGGTTGAAACATGTTCTCTATTATATTTGTTGACAATCAGAGAACAGCACTTGAAGATTGTCTTCTCTATTGAGCACTGAAAAATACTTGATTTTGACATAATTCCTAACATCAATGTTTCATGATTAAATTTTCCAAAATGTTTCTGATAAACAGAAGCCAGAGACTATGTCAGGTTTGTACAAGAGCATTTAAAAAGTTCATGGAAACATGGAATAAAAAGCTAACTTTATTTTGGTACTCAATTTTTTTAAAATATGTGCATAGTTTTTATTTTACATCTTTTTCACAATATGAATTTTCTAAGAATGTGAAGTACTCCTCTAGATTGAAATGATAAAGTGGCAGGCAAAGTTTACTTTTGGGAAAGAGGTAGGGTGAGGATGGAGATGACAGAGGGATTTCTTGTGGACATATTTTGCTTTCCACCACAAATTACCTGCCACCTGTGTATAGCAAGAAAGTTGAATGAGATGATTAAAATGGAATGATAGCTCCATAACATGTGACCTTGGTCAGTGTTTTGTTTCTTGATCATAAAACAGACTAATACTTTCTTAACAGAGTTTAGAGGACTCAATTAGGCAATATATGATGTAAAATACCCAGTCCAGAGCCTGGAATAAATGAGACCACCTATAAATGTTATTTTCTTCCTTTATTTTTTTCCACATTTTTATTAGGTTATATACAATTAGTATGCTACATACTTGGGAGCTTCATTTGGGTACCTTGGACTTCTAAATGAGGGGTCAGTTTATTCTGGGGAGCTAGCACATGTTCTCCCAGCACTATTTGCATATTCAGGACTCGATCCTATAGTCAGCCATTACCGATGTATTGAGAGCATACAACCTGTTTTGAAGGGAGGTGGTTCATTTCCCTGGTTTGCATGACCACCAAAACATAAGAGCCTATATTTGGCTGGCGCCGTGGCTCAATAGGCTAATCCTCCACCTTGCGGCGCCGGCACACCGGGTTCTAGTCCCGGTTGGGGCGCCGGATTCTGTCCCGGTTGCCCCTCTTCCAGGCCAGCTCTCTGCTATGGCCAGGGAGTGCAGTGGAGGATGGCCCAGGTGCTTGGGCCCTGCACCCCATGGGAGACCAGGAAAAAGCACCTGGCTCCTGGCTCCTGCCAGGATCAGCGCGGTGCGCCGGCTGCAGCGGCGGCCATTGGAGGGTGAACCAACGGCAAAGGAAGACCTTTCTCTCTCTGTCTCTCTCTCTCACTGTCCACTCTGCCTGTCAAAAAAAAAAAAAAAAAAAACAAAGGTGGGCCTTATATTTTGTGAAAGTACTTCTGAGACTAAGGCCGAAGAGGTGATTTCTCTGGATGCTTGCCCCTTTCTGAGTGTATCAACTTAGCTTTAAGCAGAGTTATTATGTGTGTCATTTGAGTGCCATTACTATGCTCAAGATGAATATGAGATATCAACTCAGATTGTGAAATGCAGACACTGATGGATGACAAAGACTCATTCAATTACAATTAGGACAAAACAAACAGCTTTTGAAATGAAGCTCATAGTGGGAAGGAAGGGAGGAGAAATTCTTGTCCTGTTGTACTGATAGGTTTCCCTCTCTAAATGAGCATAACAGCAAACAGGTTATACAGAAATGCCTCTGGCAGTAGAGATGACAGTGACATTAGCAGCATTTGGGAAACAAAACAAATTGGCATCATCAAAGTACAGCATGCACCTAGTAAATTTATTTCTTTATTATTTCTTTTACAACTTGCATAGCATACATATGTATCTATAATAGCTTTTCAGTGCAGAATAGTGCAGCATAGACTATTCAAGAAATGTATATAGGTATACAGTTATCACGTTAATAACAGCATCAAGTATTGTCTTTTTAAATGCTGAGTTTGGCATGACAAGAGTCAAGAAACAGAAGAAGTTAATAGGGAATTTTGAGAATGAGGCAAACCTGGACTTAATTTCTTCTCCTACCTTTTCAAAGCTTTAATTTCCTCCTTAGAAAATGGAAATATTAGTACTTACTATGGAAGCTAGTTGCACTTATAGAACTCTAATGACAGTGGTGGCATTATTTTCGTTAGATTAACCCCTATCTCTTTGTAAACTGAGACAGGAACCTAGGTATCCTTCTCAACACCCAGCACAAATTATGTGCACCTGAGTTCCAGAGGTTTGCTTTGACTACTCTGCATTACTATTAATTTTGCCATCTCTCCCACTAGACTAGGAACTTTTTTATAAGAGAAAGATCCAATACTTATCTTCTAAAACATAAATCCATGCATGAATACCTTAATTAAATAGTACAAAGTTGGACATTTCCAGCTCCTTAGCACACATTATCAACTCTCATGTTTAGTTATAAAAGGTAATCTGAAATAAGATCTTCTAAATAATTTCTTCAGTGAACCCTCTTGGAAAATCAATTACCGATATAACTAGAGCTGATCTCCATGCTTTACTCCTCCTCAGACTGATGGGCCCAACATGAAATAGGTTTTATTGTGTCAGCATACCAACGATATTAGGATCCTGGACTGGAGAGTACCGATATTTTCATGAATAATCACTTTTCTCCAAAATAGTTGTCCCCATATATACACACACACATATATATACACACACACATATATATTATTTATGTATAAATTTCCCTATAAAATCATGTGCTATTTATTGAGAATGGAAAATAACATTTTTCTTTTTATTATTTTAAAACAAGTCTCAGAGGTGGGTGTTTGGCCTAGCAGTTTAGACATCCATGTTCCATAATGGAGTTCCTGAATTTGACTCCCACCAAATTCCCACCAGTGTTACCTGATTCCAGCTTCCTGCAAGCACAGACTCAGGGAGGCAGCAGGTGATATCATAAATATTTGAGCTCCCGCCATTCAAGTGAGAGATCTAGATTGAATTCTAATCTCCAGACTTTGGCCTCAGCACAGCCCCAGGCATTGCTGGCATTAGGGGAATGAACCAGTAGATAGGGAGCAGTCTCAATGTGCATATAGAAAACAAATTCTGTGACACCAATGTTGTGGCATAGTGCGTAAGCTGTCTGACTGTGATTCTGCCACCCATGGATGGATTTATTGTGGCCATCTGGGGAGTGAACTAGTAGATGGAAGATCTGTCTCCTCTCTCCTCTCTCTCTGTCTCCCTCTCTTGCTGTAGCTGACCTTCAAATAAATACATATATCCTTTAAAAAAGGAAAGAAAAGAAAACAATTTCTGAGACAGGTGTTTGGTGCTACAGTTAAGTCGCCCCTTGGGAGGCCTGCATCTTATATCAAAG